ACAAAATTGTTACCAAATCTAACATAGCCTGTTGAGATCTTTTGATTCCGTATTTTGAGGGATTTTTCTCTCTCACCTTTTCTTTCATCTCATGTCCTCTACTCACGTAGACCTGCCTCCTTGATGCCCCTTAAACCTAGTGAACCTGTTTCTACCTCAGGATCTTGGCACCTGCTGTTTCTTCTTCCTAGGTCACTCTTCTGCCCAGTGGCTCCATGGTCTCTTGTCCATCTCCTTCAAGTCTCTCCTCAAGTGCCATCAGATCCGGAAAGCTTTTTCTGACCATCTGTATAAACCCACCCCTGGACATCCCAGCCTCCTTCCTCTGCTTTATTGGTCTTCATAACGTGTGCCTCCCTCTGATGTTCCACATTTGTCTCTGGTGTCTGTCCACACTCACTGGCATGCACACTCCTTGCGAGCAGGACTTCAATTCGTTCCCTGCTGCATCCTCAGATCTGGAAGAATAGTAGGTGCCCCGATTTTGAAAACACAAATCAATGGTTTCCATTCTAATGTTGTTTAATTCAATTTCTGAATAGATCTGGATACTATAAGCCCTTCTGCATAAGTATATTTTGGTAGAGAGTATAAAATTATAGAATTCTGTGACTATTACAGTCTTTGCTTTAATATCCCTATGACAGTCACAGAGTTCCATGAACTCATTATGTGAAAGTTTTTAGTCTGGATTTTTGGCCAATAAGAACAGAGTTTATAGACTGAAGTGTCATAACAAAGTTTGGCACACAAAGCCCTTTGTCCTGTGATTTCTGAAAACCTGTCTGCCTCTTCCTCTTATTATTTTTTTAAAACATTTTATTTATTTATTTTCAGAGAGAGGGGAAAGGAGAGAGAAAGATAGGGAGAGAAACATCAATGTGTGGTTGCATGTCATGGGCTCCCTACCTACTGGGGTCCTGGCCTGCAACCCAGGCATGTGCCCTGACTGGGAATTGAACCTGCGACCCTTTGGGTTGCAGGCTGGCCCTCAATCCACTGAGCCACACCAGCCAGGGCTTCCTTTTGTCATTTTATAATCCATGCACATGCACACACATGCACACACACATGAATGCTGTCCATACATAGGCATCCCTCACTCTCCAACTGCCTTATCTTTTCTCATTCTTCTCCATTTTTGCACATCCAGCTTTTTCTTCCTGAAACATTCTTGCCCCAATCCTACATTCCCTTCAAGATTCAACTTGTACAGGGGAATTCTTTGACATCTCTACTCCCACCCCAGCCCCCCTTCCAGACTCTGTCAAGGACCCTCCTGCCTGATCACTCTGTGACTACAGTGACCACTGCAAATAGCACACCAGAGCCAAACAGCTTTCCTAATCGTCCACTTTCTCCCAGTAAGATGGGGTTCCTCAGGACTGGGAACTCTTTTCATGCTGTTGAACATTTGGTGCCCGGCTCAGCGCCAGTGCTTCGTGATAACACGCCCCAGTGACTGAGCTCTTCCCAAGAGCCCGGCGCATGCTCAGCAGGCCACATGCAGCCCCTCTCTCGGGCCTTGCACTCTCCCTGCTGGGGAGGAACCGGGGACCCAGCATCAGCTCCCCTAGTCTTTTCGAGGAAGCAACCCGGACAGCAGGCCCTGGGGGTGGAGCTGGTGAGCATCAGGAAGACTAGGGAGGCTGTTCGAACAAACAGACAGACAAACAAACAAACAGACAAACAGGAATTGTGTCATGGGCTCATCATTTGGTGGTGGGAGTGGCATCGTTTCCTTGTATCAGTACTGGTTCCACGACGTTTTTTATATTCTACCTCTCAGTATCTACATGAAAAGAGTGATTTAAGAATCAGCATACCAGTTTTCTACTTTTAGCTCTACCCCTAACTAGTTGTATGACTTTTGATGTTACTTCTCTGTGCATTCGTTTTGAGGAATATAGACATAGTCACATAAAAAAATTGTAGCCCAAGGTCATAAGTAAAAATAATACATATGTAATATAGTGGTATAATTGTAATATATAACATATAAAAGTATATATTTATCTATTATGCTACATATGTCTATGAAATATATGTATGTTTCTATGTATACATAGAACTATGTATACATAGTTCCATAACTAATATGCATATAATTTAATACATTTCAGGGACAGTCTGATGAGGAAAGACTCCTTATGCTCAGAAATAGCTGATGATTCTCTTTGCCTTTCATCGGTCATCCAATGCTGAGTAACCAATTACTGCACAACGGTGGTTTAATGCAACAGTGTTTATCATCTTTCAGTTTCTGTGGGTCAGGAACTGGGTGTGGCTTAGCTGGGTGCCTTTCTCTCACCAGGTTGTGGTCATTTCAGGGCCCCAGTGGGAAAAGCCTGCTTTTCGGCTCATACCCAGGGTTACGGTTAGAACTCAGTTCCTTGAGAGTCCCAGGTCCTCGGAAGCTGTTGACCAGAGGCTTCCCCAGTTCCTCTCCGTGTGGACCTTTCCATAGAGCATCTCACAAAATGGCAGTGGGGGGGGGCAGGGAGAGAGAGAGAGAGAGAGAGAGAGAGAGAGAGAGAGAGAAGTTGCCATATTTTAGAACCTAATCATGAAATAAATTTCATCAGCTTCCAATTCTATTCTTTAGGAGCAAGTTGCTGGGTCCACTCCTGCCCACACTCAGCAGGAGAGGATTACATGGGGGTGTGAACACCAGGGCCTGGGATCCCTGGGGTTCGTGTCCGAGCTACCCGCCACGCTACCCTCTCCCCATATCTGGTCACTCTCTTGCCCCGTCTTGTCTCCTTCGCACCCGCTTCTGCTCACACCTCCTGTCCTGTTCAGCTCTCCCTGTAATGCGTTATGGATCTCCCTCCCTCGCTCTGCTCCGGCCCTTTTCTCCATGTGCCCAGTTGTGCATGTGTTAGTAATATTTCCATTTATTTAAGCCCCACGTGAACTTCAGAGCTATAGTTCAGCTCTGGCATCCTCTCTGAAGCATTGCCCAGAGACCTGAGAAGTCTCTGTTCCTTCTTCTGTATCGTGTAGTCCTTGATTTGCAAGAAATTGGAAATTTCTCTTCCCTGCCAAACTGTAAGCTTCTTAAGGACATGAGACAAGGACACGAGACTCTGACATGCCCATCCCCCTTTCGTAGACAGGATACTTTGTGCCTGCAAAGTGTCACTGAGTGCAGCTGATTGACTGACGCACCTATGTGTGAGGTACTCAGCTCTACTTTATTCAGAGTTTGAACTAGGTTATGAATTATGGACAGAGATTCCTTGAGCAGACAGATCACAAGCTCTGAGACTCGGAAACGTGTCCTGATGTGAAAGCTTTCTTCAGACCCAGTTTCCTCTGTGCCAGGAGTCAGACCCCACCGCTGAATTATCTGGGCATGTCTCAGTGGGATTCCCATCCTGCTCTGCCTCTTCTTGCTCCGTGCCCCATCCTTCATTCGTCTCTCTCATCTGTGGCGGGAGAGAGAGACCTTTCCATTAAACTCTGGTTCCCGTCATTTATCTAGGCTGAACTCACATTCCTCTTGGCTGGTCTGTTTCTCTCAAGGGACCTGGAGCTTGTAACTCAGACAGGTTGGAGAGCCGGTGGTTCCTGGGGAGATTTGTCTTTGGTAGGAAGGAGGTCATTACGAAAGCAAAGGTAGCCTCAGCCAAGGCCCTTTAAATTTCTGCTGGTATTCAGTGTGCATGCTCCTTGTTCATTATCCATGAGCCTTTAATGATGTACATGTCTGGGAACTTGTGAGGAAATAAAGTTATAAAACTATCTTTCACACGGAATTAGTGCCTGGCAGTTTCTGAAGGCATTCTCACACTCTGGGTTTTTTCTTAATCATTTTTTTAATTGTTATTCTATTACAGTCGTCTGAATGTTTTCCCTTAGCCCTTCTCTGCCCACCCACCCCCCACTCCCACAGTCAGTTCTCACACTGTTGTCCATGCCCTTGGGTCACACTCCATGTCTGATGGAACCAGTGCTCCAGCAACAGGAAATAGATAACACCAGTTGGATTTTATAGAGAAGGGAAGGCAGGTCCAGAGAAGTGGCATGCACGACCTAAGGTCCCACCACATAGTTTTCAAGAGCCAGAGTGAGAGTCTGAGTTGGACTCCCAAGTTCAATGCTCTCTGATCTTGACCCATTCTATCATTGGTGAAGGGAAGAATGGAAATCCCCCCGTACAGTCTTCAGAACACAGCTTAATTTCTTCCCAATTGCAGTTGCTCAATGAATTCATGTTAACTGTTTGAATTAAACTGAGCTCTGGGCTTATTATTTGGTTTTGCAGTTGTCTTAGAACAGGTCTCAATTTGCTTTGTGCCTTGACTCTTGTCCATTGTTACATAGCCTGCCTCTCTCTGTCCGTCCCTTCTTTCCTTTCCGCCCTTATCTATTTATTTGTCCCAATAACATTCTTATGAATCCTACCACGTAACATGCACCATGTATGTGGGAAGATTCCACCTCTATGGTATCATGCCAGTCTAGTGCAGAGGTGTCAAACTCATTTTCACCGGGGGCCACATCAGCCTCGCAGTTGTCCGCAGAGGGCCGAATGTAATTTTAGGACCGTATGAATGTAACTACCCTTAACAGTTAAGCGAGAGCTCTGCACAGCCGCTGGGTAGAAACAAGGTGCTGGGCTGGATACAACAAGGTGGAGGGCTGGATTCGGCCCATGGGCCTCGTGTTTGCCACCTGTGGTCTAGTGAGGGGGATGGGTAAGCACCTAAACAGCAGCGATTTTTGGTATCCCTGACGATCTGTGAGCAACCGGAGAACACTACTGTGTTTCTCTGGTTTGCCAAAGTATCCCAGTGATAAGAAGTGTGTTCAATAAGTATTTGTTGGCTGAAGAGATGGCGAGCCCTGGCTCTAAGTATCACTTACCAAATATTGAACATTAACTGTAGCCAGCCTCTCACCTACAGAGTGATACTCAGACGGGATGGTTGGGTAGCCTTTGGCTTGGGGTGGAGGTGGTAAGTCGAAGAGTCTCACTCATCTCTCCTGCCCAGGGAGTTTGCCCGTTGGAAGGTGAGGAACACAGCCATCGAGAGGAGAGACTTGGTCCGCCACCCAGTGCCCCTCATGCCGGAGTTTCAAAGGAGCATCCGCCTGCTTGGCAGGAGACCCACCACCCAGCAATTCATCGACACCATCATCAAAAAGTACGGCACCCACCTCCTCATTTCTGCCACCTTGGGAGGTAGGTCAGCAGCCACTGGGCCAGAGCCTTGTGGTGCCTTTGGGTCTGGGATGGAGGGGAGGGTGGGAGGCCCGGAGATGTGCTAATTCACAGGAATGTGCATAAACATGTCTCTGCCCTGGCACATCACTCAAAAGCGTATATTGCCAGATAAGCCAAAGTGTCTTGGTCCTTATGATCCTATCAGAGCAGTGGATTCTGTTTTCTGAGATGGTCTAACTCGACAGTTCACTGTCTCGTAGAAACAGAGCTTCATCTTGGAAATTAGTTCAGTTTGTTGGGAATGCTTAATTTGGTTATTGTCTTATTCCCTTTTGGAATGTAGTCTAATCTGGGGAAATAATTACAATTCAGATGTTGTTTAGAGGATGTTTTTTGTTCACGTGAGTCTGCTTTAGGGACTCATAACTTGAGGTGAGCATTTTACAAGGGGAGTATCGTTTGTATCTTCTGTGGGCTTGGAATAGGTTAGTAGGAAGGCAGACCCACTGCTCCACCTGGTCAGCCTTGTCCCTCCGTCCCACCAAGTCCAGTCAGGCCGTAAGGGCGTAAGGAGAAGAGGGGACGATAAAAGGGAAGTAAGGAACTGCAAAAGAGGGGAGGAATGGTGGAGGCTGGTGCATGTAGGTGCTCATGGGTCTTGCAGGCATGCGTCGCTCTGTATTTTCAGCTACAATCCCTGTTATCAGTTGTTTGCCGCAGTGACGGGGTTCGCTAAAGGTTGAGAAAACCCCTTTGGTGGTGGAGCATCATGCCACCCACTCAGAGAGCTGCCTTTAAATATGGCTTGTAGCAGCTAAACAAGAGTGGTATATCCATGGAGGCAGGCTGGGTGGGCTGGGGTGTAACTCGTTGTACCAGCTGGTCTTCTGCCTCAGAGGAGGGGTGAGCACCAGAAGTTGGACCGGTTCATGCACACTTTAGGGAGGAAGTAGCTGTGTAGCTTGGCAGTAGTTGCCCAGGTGGAAAGCAGGTGTGAAACTTTCTAGGCTGAGCACACAGTGTATGTGTATTTTGAGGGAGGTCGGATTACGCATTTGGTGATGTGAGGAATGTGGCTGGTTTGGCAAATTTACTCTTTGTTACAAGAATAGCCACAACTTATTTAGTATTTGCCCACAGTCCACACTGCACATCGCCTTCGGTCCTCAAAAACCGCATGTTCAGTTGAATTATCTGTATGTTATAGATAAGAAAGCTGAGACTCAGAAGCATTATGGCTAGTAAGTGACACAGCTAAGTTTTGCGTGTGTTTTTTTAGTTCAGTTTAGGTCTTTCAGGCCACAAAGCCTGCGTTAGTTTTTGACTCAGCTCTGGCCATGTCTTTAACCAGCTGATTCATCCACCGACCCACCCATTCCCCAGAACAACCAACCAGCATATATTTGTTGTGTGCTGCCAGTCAGAGATTAGGTGAAGTCGGACTTTGAATGTTAAATCATGCTGCATAAGTTGTATTGTCTTGTAAAGTGAAAATGAAATCACTTCCACACTGAGTGTTGCATTAACCTGTATGCTTTTCTGTGAACTTCTCTCACTTCTCATTTTACCTGAAAAAAAAATTATTGCAACCAATTCATTTCTTCCATTAGAGGCTGAGTTCTGTCTGAGTCTCTGGAAATCCCAAATAAATAAGACCTTTGTTTTGCAGTGAAATATATTTTTAATTTCTCCAAGGCAAGGTGGTGAATTATTCACAGAGCCTTGTTCCTCTCCTGTTTCCACAGCACAACGTTTTAAAATATGCAGAGCTTTGGACTGAGCTCTGGTTTTGGACAGCAGACCCCAGATGTTAGCTCAATGTGGGAGAGTGGGGGTGGGGGGCAGGGAAGGATTGACTGTTGATTGAGCACAATGTGCCAGAAACCCAGTGGGGTCCTTCTCATGTCATCATTTCATTCATTCATTCATCCATTCATTCATTCATTCATTCATGGAAGAATGTTTTTGAAGGGCCACCTCATGCAATGGGAGAGAAGGCAGATGGCAAGTTGTAGTGCACGAGAGGGCAGGCTCTGGAGTTGGATTGCCCAGGTTCCAACCCTGCCTCCTGCTCCTCCCCAGGCTCGTGTCACCTTGCCCAGTCCCTCTTCCTCTAAGCCTTGGTTTTCCCTTGTGTAACTACAAATAATGATAGCACTTAGTTCATATTGTGGGGATTAAATAAAATGATGCATCGAGAGTGTTCAGTGCAGTCCTAACTGGTGGTGGCTCAGTGGATTGAGCACCAGCCTGTGAATGGAAAGGTCACTGGTTTGGTTCCAGGTCAGGGCGCGTGTCTGCATTGCAGGCTGGGTCCCCAGTTGGGGGTGTAGGAGAGGCAACTGATGGATGTTTCTCACACATCTGTTTTTCTCTTCCTCCCTTTCTCTCTCCCTTTCCTTCTCTCTAAAAAATAAACAAAAACAAATCTATTTAAGTGTTCAGTGCAGTGTTTTGCACCTAACACATTTTTGCTATTATTGCTATTATTATTATTATTAACATTATTATTGCCATTACTTAATGGGGCTAAGAAACTTAGGGACTCAGGATTAAAGCCCATCCCTTCCACTCACTGGATGAATGGGAGACTTGAAAAATTAATTTCCCTATCCGGATATGAGTTTTCCAGTCTAAATGGAAGGAGGTGCAGAAAATTTTATTCCTATAATTTTTCCTGAGAAGAACACCATATTTATTTAGGAGAAACACTTGGATAAGCTGTTTGAGGTGTCAGGCGAGTTCCTAAGGGCATACTCAGACAACAGCGATGATCCGTAAACTGTCACATGTGGGACAAGCAAATGTACTCGTATGGCTCCTGAGGGAGAGGGAAGTGGAAGGAAATGGAGTGAGAAAGAGCAAGTGGAGGCAGTGGGAGGGCTGACAACTGAGACATATCTGTGGGATCCTCAGCTTTTCAGGGAAATCTCTTCAACCCCTAACATGCTTGGTGTGAGTAATTTTCTTACGAAACGGGGTGAAGAGAAAATTTCGGGGTCTAGGTTGACACACAGGGATATCAGTTTCCCTTACTCCCTCAGAAGATCATATTTTGACCCAAAGAAAGCCCTTGGAGCCCAGATATCTGTGTGGTGCGTATGATTAAGCTTACATGCATGCATAGACAGAGGTGTGCAAATGTATGTACTCGGACATACATGAACCTATACGTACACATGCATACACACTCAACACACACACACTTCTCTTGGACACATGCATACATGTACGATGCCCACATATATGAGTATATGCGAGCTTGCACATGTGTGTAAATGTGTATATTTTACACAAATGTCTTTTTATGTATGAGGTTTCATGTTTTCGTACTTGTGTGTATGTTTGTGTGTCCACCCATTGTTTCCCACCCTGCATTTCGGGACGCCTCCCCTTGCCTAAGAGGAAAGCTGAGAATAAAGTCACGGGGCTCAGAAGGGAAAGGACGAGGGGTGTCCGAGGAACCTGCAGTTCAGACATCTCCAACCCCCATTGGCAGCAGTATCCCCTGTGGACTCAAACGGTCAAATGATCAGCTCCCACCTCAGCCCCCACACCCATGCGTCTGAGTCCTACTTTGTTCCCCCCGAAAGTGGTGCTGCAGAGAGAGAGGCGAAGGCCCCCGGAGGACAGGGACCGAGGAAAGGCCTTCGTGGGGTGAGGAGGCAATTTGCAGGAATGCCCAAATGGGAAAGCAACTCCAAACAGAACATTCTCTTAATAAACAAGAAATTAAGTCTTAATAATGCAGCGAGAATCCCATTAACCCCTCTTGATCTAAGGTTTGCTGCTGGCAGCTCTCAGTCCACAGGGAACGGGCTTGCTTCACCTCCACTCTCACAGGCCCCTTGGAGAGCCTGAGCTGGCACTTGGAATATGTATTTCCTCTGCCGCTTGCCTCTAACTCCTAGACTACTCACTTATTGAATCATTTACCTTGCCACCCATCCATCTATCCATGTTCCCATTCAATCATCTCTTCACCCATCCATCCATCCGCCCGTCTATTTATCCTTCAAGTGATAACCGAACATCTGCTCTCAGTCTGACCTGGGAGAAGCGGATTGAGTCCTTGTTCCTCAGGCCACCACCCGCCACTCCTGAACTGAACGTCTCGTTGTACATGAAGTCATTGTGAAGTCACATCTATTTATGTTGCTATGGAGTCCAAAGGATGAAAGATCACGTCCTCTTGGAAAACCAAGGAAGGCTTCAAGGGAAACTGCAAACATGAGTGTCTTATTCTGAACCCAGCTCAGAGGCATAGGGAGCCCGGAGATTAATTTTGATGATGATGAATCTTCTTATTGGGAGATTGCAGTCTAGTCATTGAGGCAGATATGTCAATCAATAAACACCATAGGGTTGGATCATTTCCATATTCATTCGTTCATCCAAAAATACTGTGATAATTTGTTCAGCACATAATACATACCCATATTGTGCTAGGTAATAACAATGAAATGATGAAAGACTCTCTCATGCTCCCGGACGTCACAGTGCTTCTCTTCTGGTGAAGGAGCCGGCTGCTGAACAAACCATCACCAGAAAATGTGATAGGTGCTGCATCAGAGAAATAAGAGATGGTGGGAGCAGGGGGTTAGAATTCTTAATCAGTTTAACAGTGGAGGATTCAGGGAGGTCTTCTCAGAGAAGGTGTCGTCTTAGGTGACCTCTGAGGAATGAGCAGAAGTTAGCAGGAGAAAAGCAGAAAATCAGACTTCAAACACCGAGAGGAACAGGGTGCATTTGTGCAGGATAAAGCACATCTAGAGAGTGGCAGGGGGGCAGCTGGAAAGACAAGACCAACAGGGCTCCGCATCCCATGTTAGCGACAGGGATTCGGGCCGCCTCCTTCCAGCTGCATCCCACTCTGTGCATCCCTGCACCTTCGCTGCTCACCCGAGACATTGAAATGATCCCCGTCCCTCTCTCCCTAGACCTGCGTTGTCCAATAGGAACGAAATGTGTGTCGCAGCGTGAGCCACACATGCCATTTTACATTTGCTCACAACCACGTTTTTCAAAGTGGAAATAAAAAGGGGAGAATCAATTTAAGAATATATTTCACTTAACAATAGTAGCACTTCAACAAGTAATCAACAGAATAAACAACTGGATATTTCATTTTTTTTTAAACATTTGGGGATATTCCCTGTGTAGCTTATACCTACCACGCATCTCAGGTTGGACTGGCCATGCTTCAGTGCTCAGGAGTCACCCTTGGCTGGTGGCTCCCATGTTGGACAGCAGGCGCCTAGTCACTTAGTGACTCAAGCATGGGGACAATGTCTTATTCATTTGTCACCCGGTGCCTGCCAAAGTGCTCAGCACACACACAATGGCCAGTGCCTGCTGAACGAAACTGAATGGACAAACAAGCTCGTGACGGAGAGAGGAAAAGTGACTCTCGTCTTTCCTGGGGTGCGGGTGGGGTTGGGGGAAGCTCACCAGGAAGGCGGTGATGCTTGAGCAGGTTCTCAGGGGTGTCCACAAGTTGGCCAGGTCAAGGACAGAGGAGGGGTAGTAAGGGCAGATGACATGTGAACTTGGTAAGACTACATCACGGGGGCAGAGGAATGGTGTGGGTGGGACAGGGAGAGCGACGGCACTGCAGAGACAGACCGGAGGCTGCCTGTGGGGACGCTGGCAATGCAGCTGTGCTCTAGGAGCTGTCATGAAGGGATCCGAGGCAGAGGAGCTAACCTTTGGGTCAGGACTGTGCCTACTTCTTGTGACAGCTGCTGCCCTTCTGAAAGTAAATTGTTTTTTCCTTCAACTGAAAAAGCCATCAGCATTCTAGAGAAACTTCAGTTATCTTAGATTTCAGGCTTCGTCCTCAAAAAGTACTGATAGTGTTTGGCCTGGCCTGCATGGCTCAGGTGGTTGGAGCATCATCCCATAACCAAAAGGTTGTGGGTTCAATTCCCTGTCTGGTCACAGGTGCGTGTGACTCCTGGTTTGTGCACATGTGATCCGCGCCTGGGTGGTTACAGGAGGCAAGCAATCAATGCTTCTCTCTTGCATTGATGTTCTCTCTCTTCTTTCCTTTCTCCCTTCCTCTCTCTCTAAATGCAATGAAAAAAAACTGTCCTCAGATGAACATTAAAAAAAAAGTATTGATAGTATTTTTTTGACTATCGTATTGTATTGGGTTGATTAGATGTAAGGATAAATCTCATACAACTGATAGTTTATGGTGATTGAATAGTGGTGGTCAGCCCTTCCATTGTGCTATGTGCCAGGCAGGAGTCTGGTACTTAACTGATCAACTAGTGTAACCCTGTGACAACTCTACGAGGTAAGTACAATTAGCACCCCCGATTTTACACCTGAGGGAACTGAAACATGGAGAGGGCGAGTAACCTGCTCACACAGCTGCTAATTCAAGCCCAGGGCCGCCTTTTTACTATTTCAAATGGTTTTTGGTTGCTACAATGCACTAGACACTGGCACAGGGACTTTATCTGTATTAATGATTTTTTTCTTCTTAATAATGCTATGGAGTAAGTGCTACTCTTCTCCTAAGCTTGTTAATGAATGAACTGAGGAACAGAGAGTTTAAGAAATGTCCCCAGGTTCACCGTTAGCAGAGGGTGAAACCAGATGAACAATGGTCGGATCTCTTTAGTTGGTGACCTGGATCTCCCTGTCTGAAGTTCTGGTGAAATATCTTGTTATGCAAAATAAAAGGCACCATAAGGTAGTACTGTTATTAATCAATGCATATGCATGCGTTTCTAAGGAAAACTTCATGTAGTGAAATGTGTAAGTTTACATATTCATCCTATACCGAACTTTGCTGTCATCTCCCCTCTCCCTTAGATAGAACCTCTCTTCCATCATACTCTCAGAAACACAGTGCCTGGTATATGTAGGTATTTAAGAATAGAAAAAGCTGAATTAATTGTTTACTGACTATCTACTATATGCTAAGCACTGGGCTTTGTACAGGGGATAAAGAAGTAGCTAATATAGACAGTGTCTGACAGAGCTGACAGTTTAGAATTTTCTCTACAGTAAGCACATGATTTTTCCTTTCTGGATATCTTTCTGTAAACTGTGTATCTATCTATCTATCTATCTATCTTTCTATCTATCTCTTTAGCCATCCATCCATCTATTCATCCATCCGTCTGTCTGTCTAGGAAGGGGTAGCAGAAGGAGAAAGAGAGAAAGGAAAGGAGGAAGGAAGGAGGGAAGGGGAGAGGAGAGAGAAGAGGGAAAGGAGGAGCTGGATGATGATGAGTAAACAGAGTATGAGGACAAAGGAAGGGGAAGGGACCGTCTATGACACAGGTGACAAACACAAGGCCCATGGGCCGAATTTGGCCCTCCACCTTGTTTCATCTGGCCCAGCACCTTGTTTCTACCCGGCAGGAGCACTGAACTCTTGTTTAACTGTTAAAGGAGTAGTTACATTTACACATTCCTAAAATTACATTGGCCCTTTGAAGGTACCCATGAGGCTGGTGTGGCCCCCGGTGAAAATGAGTTTGACACCCCTGGTCTATGGTAAAATCATCCATTTACAGAAGAGACTGTACCCCAGAAAGAGGTGACTCATGAGGTGATGCTGGTGAGAACTGTGAAGTAGATTAGTAGGGACTGCACTCGATGACTAGGAGTTTTTCCATGATCCTTGTCCTAGAGGAGCTTGGCTCTTACAGTCACCTATGGACTATTTCTCTGTCCTCGTGCTTTTGATTTTCAGTGGTAAAAGGAAATTTGGGCAAATTAGTGGGAGGTTGGAGGGTGTTGTAGCCTCCACACTCTGGAGCTGTTCCTCTCGCCCCAAAGCTGGACAGGCTGCCTGAGCTTCTTTCCTTTCCATGCAGGGGAGGAGGCCTTGACCATGTACATGGACAAAAGTCGCCTCGACAGGAAGTCAGGGAATGCCACTCAAAGCGTTGAAGCTCTGCACCAGCTTGCGTCATCCTACTTTGTTGACCGTGATGGCACCATGAGGAGGCTCCATGAGATCCAGATATCAACTGGAGCAATCAAGGTACAGCTTGAGGGTGGGTTGGGGTGGCAGGTTCCTAAGACAACAGCGCTGCAACCCAGGTATTCTGAGACTTAATGGGAAGATACAATCCCTGGCTTCATACCCATATATCTAACAGTATACCCTGCCAACCGTTCTGACTGATGTTGTCAAGCACCCTGTAATTACATGAGCACTGTCATTAGTGTGATCATCGTTACTGATTTACTGGGGCAGCCCCGGCTATGGCCATGGTGTAATTAGCAACAATCCTCTCCCACATGCCTGAAGTTCTCCTGCGTGGATGACTTTCAGGCTCTCTTTCTAAGTGGAAAAACTGGAGCAACAATGGGAATGTGATTTTCCCAAAGTCACAGAGCTAGCAGGAGTCAGAGTACTGAATTACAGTAATTTTTTAAGCACCTGTGGTTTTTTATCCCCCTCTCCCATGTCACAGATGGAAAACTGTAATCCAAGGGTTAAATGCCCTTGCTCAGAATTTCACAGAGAGAGAGAGAGAGAGAGAGAGAGAGAGAGAGAGAGAGAGAGAGAGAGAGAACGAACCTTCACAGGGACTGGAACTCTCATCTCTAGACTATGAATATCTTCTGTAAAGGGCCAGACAATAAATATTTAAAGCTTTGCATGTCATATGATCTCTGTTGCAACAAATTCATTCTAGCTGCTATTGTACAAAAATCAGCCATAGATGATATGTAAACAAATGGGTGTGGCTGTGTTCCAAAAAAACTTTATTTACAAAAACAGTCGCCCCTGCTTATCTACACCAGGCTCATCTATACCAGCGCTAGCCAGTAGACCTTTCCAAGGTGACAGAAATGCCCTATGTCTGTGCTGGCCAAGACAATAGCCACTCATCATTTGGGGTCATGGAGCCCTTGAAATGTGGCTACTAAGCAACTAAATTTGTGAGTTTTTTTCATTGTAATTAATTTTAATTTTAATAGCCACACTAGGTAGAGCAGCTTTAGACTTTTAATTAGGTGACTTACAGCACAAGAATGTTAAAAAAATACATTTCATTTTAAATGCAATAAATTCAGGGATCAACTTGAAAACAAGTATAAAGGAGGGCATTTTTGGTATAATTGATTAGTTCTTCTGAGGGTTTCAGTGCAAATTTTTTGCATCTCAATATTTTTACAACCAGATTATATCTGCTTTTTACTTCTCAATCTCCAGACATTTTTTTTCTGAATAAAATGCAGACCTAGCCTTATATTAAGACTTTCAAAGATATCTCTAGGGAAAAAGTGTATATGTGTTAGGGGGGAGAGCAGTGAAGGGGGGAGACTCAGGCAGATGAGTCAGAAATTGACCAAAGCAAGAGAAAAATGCGGGAGGGAGCCAGTTACTAAGGTGGGAGCTAGGAGAGGAGAAATAAATCAGATCAACAAACAAAGAGCCACTTCTCTGAGAAGAATCGCCTGTATTGGGGGGATTATGTTGTTAGGGAACTCAGCACAGGGAGACGGATCTTTATGAAGCCATCAGAGTCAGAGCGAAGCAAAGGCCTGGTTTTTATTATCACCAAACGGTTCTCTCCCCACTGGACGGGCGCGGGATTGAGATATTGAAACCTGTCACAAGATAATCCTCTTTTGTGCCTCCTGGAAGGGCAGCCTGCCTCCTTCCCAGGCCTTTCGCAGAGCAACCACCCAGAGGCCACCCCAGAAGCCGTTCTTACAGGACCACAGCTCTCCACACTCAGTCCGGGCCTTTGGTTTTTCTTGACATTTCTTGACTCTCCCTGCAGCCCCAGCTGACCAGCGGAGCCAGGCCTCACTGCCAGCTGTGTGTGTAACACGACAGCTGACCCGGGTGGGGAAGTTTTGCCCAGGGTTTCCTTTTCCTGGGTCGTCACTCATGAACAACTGTGTTATTCTTCTGTTCAAAAAAGAATAAATTATTTGTTAAGAACTCCAAAGCGAATGGCCCTCCATTTATTTACTATTTCCTAAGTGCTAAACGCTTCAAACATACCATCCCTTTCCCCACTGAGGTGGGTGAGTATCACTAACATTTTGTAGATGGGGACGTTGAGGCTTAGAAAAGGAAGGTACGGACCCGACTGTAGGCTCCTCGCCTGGAGAAAGGCAGAGCTGGCGTTTGGAGATGCCTGTGGCTGTTTCCCAAGCCCTCACTTCCTACAGCACTCGCCGCTGTGTCTTTACAGTTGGGCGCAGCTCTCACAACAATTCTACAGTGCCTGTGTGAAGTAGTGGGACGTGAAGGCGAGCGGGACAAAGAAACCTCGTCTCATACTAAGCTAGTCCTGTTTCAAAGTTATCTTTTTGAATAGCCATCCGCCCATTATCCACCACTTCACTTATTCTAAGACGATGTTTTGGAAACTGTAGGATCTGGATGTTTTGTTCTGTGGTGGTGTTGATTGTGCTCCTTGCTGAAATTTTTTTTTAAAGATTTTATCTATTTATTTTTAGAGAGGCAAGGGAGGTAGAAAGAGAGAGAGAGAGAGAGAGAGAGAAACATCAATGTGTGGTTGCTGGAGGCCATGGCCTGCAACCCAGGCATGTGCCCTGACTGGGAATCAAACCTGCGATGCTTTGGTTCGCAGCCCACGCTCAATCCACTGAGCTACGCCAGCCAGGGCGAAATCTTTTTTTAAACGAAGATAATTGTATTGTTCTTGCCTAATAACAGTGCCTATGGCCATCATATACTTTAAGAGACTTTTGGCAGTAAGATGCTCGTTTTTGAGTGCATGCCACGTGTTAGGCACCCACACCCATCATGTCCAGTCTCACATCCTCTTCGGAAAGGACTTACTAGCTTCAAGTTAGAGAAGTGAAGCGGCTTCCTTAGGTCACAGAGCAAATAAATGGAGCAGCCAGGATTTAACACCGATTCTCTCCTGATTCTAAAGCCCATGATTTTTGAAATGTCCTCCACTGTTTGTTCACTGATTAGTTCACAGAATACGTAAAACAGCTTTGTGAAGCGGTGCCATGAAGAGAAGCTGGGCGCTCTGGCTCCAGGCTGTCTGCTTGGGCAGTGTGCTGGCTTGTCCCCTGCTCGGAGGCAGCCAGGCCTGGTCCTTGGCCCAGCGCAGACGGCTTTCCCTGCCGGCTTTGCTCTGCCGGGGGCCAGTGTTGTGGGGTTTGTCCCATACAAGGGTGTCTCTTTCACATCTGTCACCCTTCATGCCCCCTCCAGGTCACAGAGACACGCACTGGGCCTCTGGGCTGTAACAGCTATGACAATCTGGACTCTGTGAGTTCCGTCCTTCTGCAAAGCACCGAGAGCAAACTTCATCTTCAAGGTAGGTGCTGGTGGTGATGGTGGGGGAGGGGACGAGGGTGGGGGAAGGGAAGAGGGTGGATGGGGAGGTGGTCTAGGGGCAGGCATGATGCGCAGGGAGAAAGAAGATGGAACTCAGGGAAACCAATGAAAACTGAGACAATCATGATACAATTACAAATTTTTAATACAGACAGGACATTAAATTCATAGTTATTAATTAGTTTTCAGATGTCAAGAATGGAAACGTGAGCTTTATCTGATTATTTTGATAAAAATATCTAAAAGGTGTTATTTATAGATGCTCCAGGTCTAGTATATATTATAGTTTTATATTATGTTGTCTGAATTTCCTACATTATGGTGTTTGATTTTCAATGTATTTTGGCAGATGTTACTTGAATTCCAAGAATGATAGGGCAATTTATGAAATTTTTAGTTCTATGTAATCTTCTTTTCCCTTATTTGTTAATAATTTGTGGTTTTCTGTATATCCATATGCACACACATGTGTTTGTGCTTGTGTGTGTGCTTTTGGCCAAGTTGACAAATGAGAAGACTCAGTGCTGTCTGGAGTGTAGAGAGACATGCTCTTACACATTGCTAGTGCAAATGTAACAACTAGAAGGATTCCTTTGTTGCTCTATATAAATATTTGTGTTTGTTTAATGTCTGTTATATGTCAGGTCCATGCTAGGTGCTCCATGTGTGCTCATGACCTTAGCATAATATACCCTTTAAAATAGTAATTTTACCCTTATTAATTCGTCATAAAGTAGAGAGGAGATTGTAGGGGAAAATTAACAAGGCTTTAAGTACAGATAGTGCTGTTTTAAAAAGCATAATTTATAATAACTGAAAAACAGTATAAAAATCTCAGTTTTCTGCCCTGGCTGGTGTAGCTCAGTGGATGGAGTGTGGGCTGCGAACCAAAGCATCGCAGGTTCGATTCCCAGCCAGGGCACATGCCTGGGTTGCAGGCCATGGCCCCCAGCAACTGCACATTGATGTTTCTTTCTTTCTCCCTCTCTCCCTCCCTTCCCTCTCTAAAAATAAATAAATATATCTTTAGAAAAAAATCTCGCCCTGGCTGGCATAGCTCAGTGGATTGAGCGCGGACTGGGAACCAAAGTGTCCCAGGTTCGATTCCCAGCCAGGGCACATGCCTGAGTTGCAGGCCATGGCCCCCAGCAACTGTACATTGATGTTTCTCTCTCTCTCTCTCTCTCTCTCTCTCTCTCTCTCTCCCTCTCTCCCCCCTCCCCTTCCCTCTCTAAAAATAAATAAATAAATCTTTAGAAAAAAATCTCAGTTTTCCATATGAAGAAGCTAAGTGAATTAATGTAGTATCCATACAACATAACATTAAGCAGGTACTAAAACATTGTTTATAAAGAATTTCCAAGTATATGTGACAATGATTTGATATAATGTTAATTTAAAAATGGATAGTTTCTGATTGAATGTATGGCATGGCGGTATAAAATAATAAAAGAACATACTACTACAAGGAAATATGCTGAGAGGTTAAAAGAGGTTACCTCTGGGTGGTTAGGTTGTAGATGATTTACTTGGGGCTTGCGGTGCCTTTCCTAACTTTTCTGATCATGTGTTAACTTTATAGTTAGAAGAAATCGCATGCTTTAACTTTGAGCAGACTAAAAATGTGACCTTCTAGAAAGGTATATGATAAAAGGTGATTGTGAATGTCAGTGGGAGGAAAGTTGGGTTGAGATTGGCAGGTAGAGCTAAGCAGAGCCTAATATGACTTTTATATTCTGCTTCCTTGGCAACGGCTTGATTCATGCTCCTGTTATAGAAGATGGTTGGAAAATGGTTCGGGGAGAGCTTGGAAGTGTCACTGGGGAACAATGAATGAATGTCCTCAGGGAAATTCAGGCCAAGAAAGTGGTTTAGTGTTAAAACAAAACATACCCTCAGATACAGGAGGAATAACCCTACCTCTTTAGCAGAGAAAAGAGTAGACAGATGAGCTCGGTAATGCCTCATAGGAAAGTCAGAACTGCCTTGGGTGTGCCAGTGATCCTAGACTGTTCCTATGATACCCACAGTGACCTCAAGGTGCCAGCAGGCTTTGAATCTGGGAAGTTCGGCTCAGTCTGCACTGATCACCCTGTGGTGCTGGGAGAGGAGGAGAGATCTGCGAGTTATAATTGGAATATATTTAGGGCGGATTCACAGGGTGTTACTAGGAAGTTATTAAGATCATGGGGACATTTAGAGAGGCTGATTTACCATGAAACTAATGAAGCTTGAGGTTCAGGGTTCCCTCACCTTTTACGTCCTCAGACTTTCTCATTCTAAATATGCACCTTCATATCTGATCTTGAATTGCTGTTTTCATGAAGGAACTGAAGTATAAGTCTCAGTCCCCCAAAACTCGGGTCTGCCATGGGTTACATTATAGAAATATATTAGTCAGAAAAAAAGGAGGCAAGAGCTTTGTCTTATTCTAGATCAGTCAGAGCACACCTGCTGGAGGGTTGGATTCAGGTCTGTGCATCATACCTCAGGAGGGACATTAAGAAACCACAGTGTGCCTGAAGGAGAGTGTCTTGTGATAAATAGCTGAGGACGGTTGACTTGGAGCGAGAGGACTTGACTGCAGATACCAAAAGGATTGTCTTGCAGAAAAGATAGTCCGATTCATTAATATGGATTAAACGGGCTAAACCTGATCTACCTAGAGGAAACGACAAGGACCCCAGCTTTTAAGTGAGATAAAATAGATCTCAGTTGAAACTCAGCATACAATAGATTTTCTAAGGCACATTCATGCCAAACCTAGAATGGCCAACTGAAGTATATAGTGACTCTCTGAGTTATAAATAGATGACATTCGGTCAGAAGGTTATAAAGATTATTTCATCATCATTCCATTGGGTGGGGTGATTGAAGTTAGTGGTCCTTAAGACCTTCTCCACACTAGTGTTTCTGGTGTTTTACAAAGATTTTTCTTGACACTGGCTGTGCGCCAAACCCAGTGTTATACCGTGGGCATATGAACACAGATCAGTTTGTTTCACCTCACTATATATGGGGGGGGGCAAGAACAGTTTACAGTTGTGAGTACATGAAACACAGAGTTTATTCTTGTGTTATTATTTATTAATTATTATAGTATTTCCCATATGAACAACTGTAAACCTACTTTTGCTACCCGGTGCATGTTTTTTAAGGGACCATATTAGCATCGAGCTTGGTACAAGGATTCAGGAGTAGACAGGACTCGGTTTCTACCCCAAGGGAACACACAGTCTAACAGAGAAGACGGACTTAAACAATAAGAGGCATAGCGCATTGTAATGGAGAAAAATATGAGGGTTTTGTAATACCAGTTAGCACGGGGAGTTAATTTACTAGGGAATCAGGGAAGATTTCTTGCTAAAAATGATGCATAGGATGAGACCCAAAGGATGAAGATGAGGGCAGGGTCATGGATATGGAGGCAGACAGAAGTGTCTTCATGAGGGGGCGTCTGAAGAACTGCAAAAGTCTTTAAGAGGCTAGAGCTGAGACATCAGTGGTGAGAAAGACAAAGTAATCCTTCACATCCTGGAAGGCCACTGCAGCACGTTAATGAGTTGAACATTAATTTGACAATAATGGGCACCGTGGAAGGGTTTTCAAAAAGGAAGCAGCCTGAAGAGATTGATCTTTTGGAAGACCATGCTAGCTTTGGTGTGTGGCCAATTCATTAGAGAAGGATAGGTTACAGACTGGTGACCAGTTAGAGTCGCCAGTGCTTAGGATGAGATGTCACAAATTTAGACATGGAGGGAGCAGTGTGGGTGAGAAGAATAGGCCAATTTTAGAGTTATTATACTTAGAAGGCATCATGACCAGGATTTAGTAAAGAGATCATGAAGAATTTAGATAATTGAGTGAATAGAGTGTGGAAATGAGATAGAGAGGACGGACAGGAAGATACATACGATTCAAGATAATACATAATAGAGATAATGAAAGTAATGCATACTATTATGGAGGTCCAGAAGAGGGAGTAATTCATTCTGTCTGCCTAGGTAGAGGAATCATGGGGAAAAAATGATATCTCAGGGAGAATAATCTTCTGGTGCTGGAAGGTAAAAGAAGAAAGCTTCCTAAATACAAGACAGAAGAGTATCTCCTGACTTTGCAGTATTCTGGTATTTATTCAGCAGAACACAAAAAGCACTAAGTATAAGAGAAACATTGATACATTGAACTACATTGAAATTAAAAATTTCTGCTCATCAGAAGCTGCTACTCATAGGATGAAAATGCAAGCTACCGAGTAGAAGGAAATATCTGTGATATATGTATCCGACAGAGGACTCTTTGCAAAACATATAAATAACTCCTAAAACCAATAAGAAAAAGACAGACAATCCAGTAAGTCAAGAGACTGGGTAAAAGATATGAACAGGCACTTCACAAAGAAGAATATCAACATGGCAAATAAACATTTGGAAAGGTAATTAACTTTTCTAGTCCTCAGAAAATGGAAACTAGAACCACAATTCAATATCATAACACCTCAATCAGTCTGGCTCAAATGAAAAACACTCACAATATCAAGGAGTGGCAATGCGTAGCCATGGGACCTTAACACCCACAGCAAGGGGCAGAGGGAATAAGTGAGCCCAACTGTTTTGGAAAACTCTTTTGCCGTATTTACTGAAAACTCAGTATGCCCTCATCGTCCGACCTAGCAACTACAGCTCTGCCAGGAATACACCCAGCAGAAATGTTACCCATGTCCACCAAAAAACATGGATGGTCATAGCAACTTTATTCAAAATTTCCAAATGGAAGTAGGCCCACATGCCCATCAACAAGAATAGATAAATAGTCGTACATGCACATAATGGGCCACAACACAAAAATGAGGAAAGAATAAATACCCTTTCATGGAACAATACGGAAGAATCTCATGGAGAGAACATCGAGTGAAAGAGCCGTCACAGATGAGTGCACACCGAATGACTCCATTTCCCTACAGCTCAAAACTAGTAAAAA